TAAATCAAATTAAATTAATATTATTTATCATTTAAATGTGCATGTATTTTCATAATATTTATCAAGTTATATGTTTCTTTAAAATATAGTAGAAAATAAAGCAATAATCAGTAGGAAGTTACATAATTAAGTAACTCATATATTTTTGGAGATTCATGAACACATATCAATATTTACAATAACTAAAATATTTTATAAATTCCAAATAGTTTTATATCTTATATTTATTGAATGATAAACTGAAATTATTTTAAATAATCTTAAAAATGAGAGTTCGGATTTGCTTTGGTATTTTTATTATGGTTATATTAAGTTACACAAACATAAATTTTTTAAAAAAAAAAAATAAAAGTAAGAAACATATAATTTAAATAATGATAGAATATAACATATCTATGTCATTAAAGTATATAGTGGTATGATATTTTAAAATATTTTGTAATTATTTGATTAAAAGATGTTTATTGTTGAAAAATATTTTAATTTCTCTTAAAATTAAGCAGTAAAAATTGTGGTTGTATTTGAGAAATCATATTATATAAGTAAAATTTAATTTATAGATATCTTTTTTTGCTTTAGTTGAAAGATACTATAGTCAACTAAATATATGAAAATAAATAAAATATTCAATAATTTTAATTAAAACTATTTTAGTTAATAAAAACATATACTTGTTTATGTTACTTAAAATTATGTTTAAAAGTAAATTTTTTTTTTTCAAATATCAAAATTATATGTGTGAATTTTTGTTATGAAATCACATTATATAAAAATATATTTTTCATATAAGAAAATACAGATATAAAGAAAGTATTTATTAATTAAAAAGTACATTTTATGTTATTTAAAATATTTTTAATGGATGTTACTATTTTGTTAATTTTCCCTTTTGATGAAACCATATTATATAACATATATTTTCGTTTTTTAATTTTTCCTTTTAAATTTTATAGATGTTTTTTCTATTATAAATCTTAGTTGGAAATTTTTAAAAAGGAAACTAAATACAAAATTAATAATACTATTTTACTATTTTGTGAACTTTCCTTTTTAATGAAATCATATTATATAAACATATATTTTCGTTTTTAAATTTAATAATTTTTTTCCTTTTTATTATAAAAGTTTTTTGGAATTTTTTAAAAAGGAAACTAAACATAAAATTAATAATATTATTTAAATATACTATTTAAATATATTCATCAATGGTATCATAGTAATCAACCGGTGTAAGAGTCAACGTGAGCGCGTCACATAGGAAAATGACTTCTCAAATAATATTATAGAGATATCTAATTTAAATATTAATTTTTTATTTTATTACCCTGGTCAAAATATTTATGGTTTCGCCACTGCTGAAGTCGATGTACGTTACCTCTGTTAAGGCGTTGATGGTTCTTTGCATTGAGATTTTGGATAGAGATAAGTACCAGAGAATGATGGGGAAAGAAGGTGGGAGTTGGCAGGAGATTTAGTTCATCTTGAAGTCTAAATGGAACAAGGGACTAGACACTGGTTTAAGGTTGTTGGAAATGGTTTGAGGCTAAAACAAGGACTTTGAGTGGACGAGGGTGAGAGAAAGAAGGAAGAAAGTGTAGCTCATGTTGTTGATGTTTTGAGTATCCTATTCTTTATATTTGTTACTTTTTAGTTTGGTGAAAGATTTTAAAGAAAGAGAGAGAAGAAAAGGGCGTGCGAGAGAGAGAGAGAGAGAGAGTGTGATAGTGAGTGAAATGTTTTTATGTATTCTTGTCCCTTTTGCATTCAAAACTCTCCGGGATCAGGTAACTTTGAAGATAGATGAGATTCCGTTTTAAGGTTTTGAGATATCTTTTTCAGTTCCCAATCAATCCATCAAGAAGATCTTTTGTATTATAATTTTTGTGTTGCATGTGTTGTATCAAACTGAGACATAAAACTTACAAAAAAAAATCACATTAAGACTTTCAGTTAAAACGAAAGAATTTCAACAACTTAAAAAAAAACCTGGTAGACTTGCAACAGTTCACTTCAATCTGAAATTCTAAAGGAACCGAGTTCAAGTTTGGAACATAAGCACAGTGAGAAAACAAACCGAGCTCGCCAGAACCTATCTGAATCTTATTGCACATGTCTCCCTTCACAACATAGATGCAAGGCTGTGAACGTCCATCGCCACAACACATGAATAGAGTCTCATCATAGATGAAGTAACTAACGGCCAAAATCATATCAGACAACTTTGGCAAGTTATTTGCTGTCAAAGTCATCAAGTGTATCCACACCACTTCCTCTTTATCATAAATCTCATTCTTCATTACCCAAATCTCAATCTTCCTTGTTAAATAGCATTGCTTTAAAAACGAAAGCCGACCTCCTTTAAAAACCGCAAGCACACGTTCATCGCAAGAATGGCTATCTTGAATAGGAAGAAGACAAACGGATTCGAAAATCTCCCTAGTGAAATCAAAGCTTTCGATGGAACACTCATGAGTCAGGCGGTTGTAAAAAATCCAATACAAATTTCCATACAAGGACACATGTGACCATTTATCTATTACAGATATGGGCATGATATCGTTAGGTCTATGCGTACCAATAAACCTCAACGCGTGAGAGACACACTCGTAGATCGCAACTCTATGGTGGAAGAAGTAACGCATGCAGAGTAAAATCTTGTGAATCTTTTGGGGTCCACTACTGTCGTATCCTAAGCCGACAACAATAAACTTTTCGTCCACGGACAACTTGATCCAGTGAACATGTCTCAACCATGGATTCCAGAGAGCTGTATCCTTCTTCAAACAGAGTGGATATTTACAGAACAAGAGATCATCGCAAGTAGTGATGCATAAATATTCTGAATTTAATCGACGATGTCCATTGAATAAACCTTTGATATGGTGTCTACAAGAAGTGTGTAGCTCACGCAAATCTATACTTTGATTGATGATGTCTATCGAATAAACCTTTGATTTGGTTAGGAAGATGAACTGGGGACGGGAGAGAGACAAGTGTTTGTTGATGAAACTCTTGTCGCTGATTAGAGAGTTCCATTTTTTCGACACGGCTCTGAATCGAACAAGAGATTTAGGTGGAAGACGAGAGAGTATTTCTTCCTCTACTTCCCACGGAAGCATAACATGCAGATCCATCAGGTAAAATATATTTTCCTCTAAAAAAAGGAAACAATATATCATTTAATATCCAATATATAGGTAATTTTTATTTGGTAATACAATATACTTTTCTCCGAAAAACAATAATATCTTATTATATAAAATTTGGTTTTTCAAAGTTACCAATTAACAAAATCGTGATGTTATCATCTTCTCCTTTTAAATTAAAAAAAAAAACAGATTTGTATTCTATTTTTGATACATAACGCAATAAATTTGATATTCAATCAAAAATATAAAAGAGTATTTGTAAATAAAAGAAATTATTTTTTAAAAATATTTAAGATTGTGACATGTGTCAAAAATAGAATATAAATCTTTTTTTTTTTAATTTAAAAGAGATGTATAACATGATAGCAAAATATTAAAATCTCTTATAGGGAAGGATAAAAATTGTAACCTATCCTACTTTACATTTTTCATCTTTACGATTTTATAAAATAAAATTATTATCATAATATTTTATAATTATCTTCCGTTTAGAATTGTTAAAAAAAATATTACTATCAAATAACATTGTGTTATCCTCTTATAAATCTCTTTACAACAACGGTTATTATATAGTTTAACAGTCCGAAACCCCTCCAGCCCTTGGCTAAACTATCATATAACCACTTCCGAAAAATCAGATTATAATCTTCAAGATGACATAGACGGTACAAGAATCTTTAACCCTCCAAAAACATTACAAAACCGGAAAAACTAGGACTGGGCAAAAAAACCAAACCCGAAAATTCGAACCGAACCTGACCCGATAAAAGGAATCCGAACCGATCTGAATCCAACATAAGTATCAAATGAATCTTGTTTCAAATATATAATTGATATGTGTCACAATCTTGTTAATTAGTAACTGTGAATAACTTTATATTATAAGATAGGTCCAAGATATTTTTTAGTTTTTTTGTAATAGAATATATCTATTTATCCAAAAAGGAAACAATCTATCATCTAAAATCTTTTTTTTCTTTACACCATATACGATCTTGTTTGAGACTAAAACAAGGACTATGAGACGACGATGTAGTGTAGTGAGAAACGAAGGAAGATAGCCTGAGAGTTGGTTATAGCCAAGGTCACGAGTCTGGAAGTTTGAGAGAGATGATAAAGAATTGGGTTTATGATAGAATTTGAACTCAAACTTCACAAACTCAATCAAAACTGTAAAGAATCAATGGAATCAATGTATTTGCACTTTGTATTAAGAATCAATTGAGAATCGTTGGCTTAACCCACACGAATTCTCCTCAAGACTAGCGTCTCAATCCAAAATACAAAGCTAGAACACAAAGAATACAACAGACTTCTATTTAAAGCTCTTCCGAAACGCTAACGGCCATAACGGCAAAGACTCTTTCTCTAGTAGAGTCTTTCAATCCTTTCGACCGTTGACCAACGACTTATCCACGTCAGCTTCCTTCCTTTCTTCTTTACCCTCTTCTTTTCCTTCCTTCCCACGTCTCCTCTGCCGCACATATCTATGTGGAAGCTTATCAGTTTAGGACTGGTTAAGCTGTTTCTAGTCAAGGAGATTAGTCTAAGGAGAGGGAGGAGATCGAACCGAGAAGAGAGAGGTCAAGTGACTAAACCAGGGTAGATAACGAGTTGGGTCAAATGGGCTAGTTTGGAGATAGATAGAGATAGCGAACCGGAGAGATTAGGGCCAAGAGCTAAGGCGGTGACGCGGCCTAGAGAAGTGAAAGTGAGACTAGAGAAGAAGGAACAAGGGCCAGAACTGTGAAGTCCCAAGTAGTAAAGAAGGCTGAGCCAGGCATGTCCGTTAAAGAGTCTCTGATGGGCTCAAGAGAGGCTCTGTCCGTAGGAGCTAATGAAGAGAGAGTAGAGTGGACGAGAGTGAGAAAAAGAATAAGAAAGTGTAGCTCATGTTGTTGGTGTTTTGAGTATCCTCTTCTTTCTCTTTGTTAGTTTTCGTTTGGTGAAAGATTTTAAAAAGAGAGGGAAAGGAGAGGACGTGAATGAACACGTAGATAATGTGTGATAGACTGATAGTGAGTGAAAACGTTACGTTATGGATTCTTGTTCGAAATTGTGTTAGTTTATTTATTACGTTTTCGTTTGACTCTTGTCGGTGATGATGGTGGTTGTGGTCCTTTTGCACTCAAAACTCTTCAGGAGGTCAATAATAAGACTAGGGAGAATACGTTTAAACTAATATTACTCCTACCTTTAACAACACGAAACTTCAACAAATCTCCTATACTATCCAATCAATCCATCGACAGTAGTATATATATCACCCAAGAAATATATTTTGTTGGAAATTTTTCAAATAAAACAAAAGACAGGGAAACAATTTAAAAAGAAAAAAATGATAACACTAGACTTGACACAATTCACTCAGTCTGAAATTGTAAAAGGAACCGAGTTCAAATTTGGAACATAGGCACAGTGAGAAAACCAACTGGTCTTGCCATACCTTATCTGAATCTTATTGCACATGTCTCCCTTCACTATGTAAATGCAAGGCTGTCTACTTTTATCGTCGCCACAACACAAGAATAGGGTCTTGTCATAGATGAAGTAACTAACGCCATACATCTTATAAAACAACTTTGGCAAGTTAGTTGCTGTCAAAGTCATCAAGTTTATCCACACCACTTCCTCTTTATCATCAATCTTATTCTTAGTTACCCAAATCTCAATCTTCTTTGTTAAATAACATTGCTTTAACAACGAAAACCGACCTCCTTTACAAACCGCAAGGAGATATACATCGCAAGATAGTTTCTCTTGTGCGGGAAGGAGACAAACGGGTTTGAAAATCTCTCTAGTGAAATCAAAGCTTCGGATGAAATACTCATGAGTCAGGTAGTTGTAAGAAATCCAATACAAATTTCCATTCAAGGACAACACATGTGACCCTTTATCTATATCAGATATGGGCATGTTATCGTCAGGTGTATCAATAAACCTCAACGCGTGAGAGGCACGCTCGTAGATCCCAACTCTCAGGGGGTAGTAGTAAATGTAGATCAGTAAAATCTTGTGAACCTTTTGGGGTCTACTATTGTCGTATCCTAAACCGAAAACTTCGAAGTCTCTGTCCAGGGACATCTTGATCAAGTTAACATGTCTCAACCATGGATTCCAGAGCGCTGTATCCTTCTCAGAATGGAATGGATATTTACAGAACAAGATATCATCGTAAGTAGTGATATCGGCTCTGTATTCCGAATATAAATCCCTGCAAGAAGAGTGTAGCTCACGCAAATCTATACTTTGATTGATGACGTCTATCGAAAAAACCTTTGATCTGGTTAGGAAGATGAACTGAGGACGGGAGAGAGACAAGTGCTTGTTGATGAAACTCTTGTCGCTGATTAGAGAGTTCCATCTCTTAGACACGGCTCTGAATCGAACAAGAGATTTAGGTGGAAGACGAGAGAGTATATCTTCCTCTAGTTCCCACGGAAGCATAACATGCAGATCCATTAGGTCTTCCTTTTCGATGTAGTTACTAAACTATATCTCTGATAATATAGGATTCAATATATATATATTTTCGACCTTGTTAAAAAGAAGCAATAAATAATATCTGATCCAATATTTCTTTTTCTTTTTAGGGAAAATCAAGCAATATACAGTATGTTTTTCTTTTGTAAAACATCTTTCATTTAATTAAACTAAATCTTTTGACAAAATATTTTTATGCAAAAATGCTTATAAAACTAAAGAAATGTATTACTCTCCAGGCTATAGGAAAGGAAGTTTTCCCTGTAAATATAGAAAAGAATTAGGGAAAATATTGTTTCAGGAAATAATGAAGGCTATATACAGTAAAATATCTATAAATTAATAATGTTAGGACTTTATTGTTTTATTAATTTATAGAGATATTTATTTACAAAAGTTTCATTTTAAGATTTTTTTCTGTTTTCTAACATTTTTGTATATAAAATAAAAAAATATTTGATTTTACCGTATATAAAATTTGACTTTCATATTGTTTTATTATCTTATTTGGTGTATTTTTTATGTTTCATAAAATTGTTATTGAGTTTTCGATGTAATTTTACTAAATATTATCAAAATATATTGAAAATTTAAGAAAAATTAGAAGTATTTGCACTGTGAATATAAAACCAACAATATAATATTTAGTTTGTACTTATATAAAAATATATAAAGATAAATTATTAATTTATGATTTTAATGAGACTAAATATTTACATGAAAGTTCTAAAAATGCTATTATCTTATTATTTTATCGCTTTGTGTTAGATTTTACACCGGCTCAAATTGAGACCAGCAAAATTTATTAATTTATAGAGTTCTACTGTATAGGAAACATACATTTATATTTGTTTCATAAATGAATATAATAGATAGATGAATATACAATCTAATGTATTAAAATAGAAGTACAAATTTAAATTAATCATTAAACTTGCACAATATTAAGAGCACCCGTAACAATGGTCATTAGGAAAAATCTTTAGGGAAAAAGAAAAATAGGCATTTTGGGATTATATAAGGATATTTCAGATTTTTTATTTTTAAAAAAAAACTGACAATTCACGGGCCGCCACGTGAGCAGTGGAGCCCGCGAATAGTGTAAGGATCAATCCTTAAATAAGGATTTTAAAGATAAAATACTTAACTGTTCATGGGACCCGTTGATTATAAAATTAATATTTCCCTAAGGATTTTCCATAAGGACTTGTTGTTGCGGATGCTTTTACAATCTAATCTCATTGAGAATTAAATAAACCTAACTTTAAGTAACCATTGTCTTTTTATATTTTACTAAACCATTTTCTAAATTAAATTTTGCTAGATTTGTCTGATCAATATATTTCCTAAAATGATTTAGCTAAATTTTTGGAAAATTGAAATTTAAAAACGTTTTTAATTATATAATATTTCCCAAGTACCTTATAAATTTTATACATTTAGTTTATAAGGTTCAAAATATATGTACTTTAATTTTTTAAAATATATGTTTAACCGTTACT